GCTACCGTGGGGGCTCAGTCTAGGACATGAACTTCTAGATCATACCATACCTGAGGCCAACTGCAATTACAGAAGCTAATACATTCCCTGCCTCATTTTAGCCCCTGTGGCTTAATTCACTGTTAGTTGCAACTGATAGACCATCTGAGGTGGCTCTTAAGCGCTGATTAGCTCCATCTGCCCCAGACAGCAGTAACGGCACCACATGCTACACAGCCTTTTAATTCCTCTATCCCCCAGCTGGATCCCTTCGCCACCTTAAAGTTTAATTCATTTTACTTGCTTTAAAATGATACAAATTTGAGAAGATTTACAAACATGGATCTGCAAAAAAAACCCAGCTAAGTTTCAGCAAATAATTAGCCAATAAGTACTGGCCTCCAAAACTGGGAGTGATAATCTTGGCTCATGAAGGAAACAGCAGTACAGAAGGACCAAATATTAGGATGTGGAGGGAAAAAATATTTGTGGTAAGACAGAATAAGAACTTGGAGAAGAACTGGGTTCCTGTTCCACCCTCTAAGAACTGATTTCCCCTCTCTCCTTGGCCTCAGTTTACATACCTACAAAATGAGGGGATTGAACTAGATGACTTCTGAAGCCCCCTTCCTACTCTGACGCAGAGCAATTATTCAGCAAAAATGTTCCTTCTGTGGTTCAAGTGCCAAGCCTTATGCTAAGTGCTAGAAGAGGATGTGGTTCCTACTTTAAGACATTTCCAGGTTGGAGGCCATGATGCACTTCTTGGCCACAGGGAGTCAGGCATGTACGGGCTACCTCCTTTCCCTGCTCCACTGGGCATGAGGACAATGGCTCTCTGAGAGGCAAGACTCTTACTTCAGGCTTCCTGGGGGCAAGGCCTTACCTATCAGCTTCTCCCTTATTGGCTCTGACACATACATGGGATACAGAGGGTAAGATATATGCAAAATACAGAACCCACTGTAAACCCACCATCATGAGCATTTAGCTGTCATGGGACACTTGTGGCAGCCAAGTTTGCCTCAGGGTGATTTGTTTGGGTGATGAGACCTGACTGTGGACAAGATACAATTAGCAAGCTAGATGGTTATCTTTCAAACAGGCCTCTGCTTTCTCATTCCTGATTCCATTATTTGTTATCATGTCACAGGCACCAACAAATTAAAGGCTACTCATGCTTAGACCACAGCCTGAGAGGAAGTGTTAAGAGTATGAACACACCCCTAAGTAGTGCCCTCATTACAAGTTAGATGCCTGTGTCAACACACTTCTACTGTCCAGGAGTTTTCATTATATGCTTCCACACAAACTCACAGAACCTCAGGATGTTAGAGCTGGAAAAGTCCTAACAAAGTATCTATTCCCAACTTGCCATTCACTCCATTTGAGCAGCAATGTTAAGAAAATATCTGAGGCCAGGGTTGGGAAAGAGATTGATTGGCAATGTCTGCCCCAGCCAGAAGAAAAGCACCATTATGATACATTTACCTTTCCCCTTCTGAGTCTAAGCCTTCACTTCACAGAGGAGGAATCTAAGGCCCAGAGAGGTTAATAAGCCACTTGCAGGACAGGAAGAAGCAGGGAGCCAGATTTGCTCAGGTAAAACCACCACCTTCCCCAGTGGCATCAGATTTCAGCTGGGCATGCAGACAGAGAGGTGATTAGCAATATAAAGGTTCCCTGCCTTTCTGTGGAAAATTAAAAGGAATCAATCCAAGGCTACATTTCTAAGGTATTTAACTTTCTGATGAGTAAGGCTCTGCCACCAGGAAGACTGAAAAAAGGGGAGAAAAAGTATTGACTTTTGGATGTTGTAAGAATAAAGTTCAGCCCTCACACAATGGGGAAAGCTCTTGATATCAGAAAATTAAAGTCACTGGTGTTCCACTATGCCACCAATTTCTATTCCATGGTCACCATTATCCAATGAAGTAATTTCTCACAAGAGATTGGCTCAGGAATGGGGATGGACTGCATTGTGTTTCCTAACACGGGTTTTTAATAGCCAGCTCCCAAGCCTGGAATATGAAACAGACTATAGGATTAAACCAAGACATTAAATAAACTGGGGCTAGGAATGAGGAGGACCTCCAAATTAAATTGAAGACAGCTCTAAGACTGGCTTTTCTGCTTGGTTTTTCATTCTTCTGAGAAGCCATTTGTCTGATCAGATGAATGCAGAAATCTTAAAAGCATTATGTGTCTTTTACAAGTCGGCTGCCTGACCCAGCTGGAGAGGTACCCAGGATGAGCCAGCATGAGTGGTTATGGAGACTTACCCTCGGGCAGATGATAAATGCTCTTAATTTGAAACTCTTCATTCTCCAATCCAGTGGAGTTAGAGGACTGCTCAAACAGTGGGAATGTCACCCTCAAAGAAACTTCTCTCTAAGCCACAAGGAATATATTTTTCATTTGGATAAAATCCTGTCAGACTTCCCTCCAGAGCCTCTGCTGTTATTTCTACCAGAAAGATCAATGAGGTGCTCTGGGATAATTCTTAACAATTGTAAGAGTGACAAGCTAAGCTCAGAACTGGTCAGCCCTGTCGAAAAAAGCTCTGTGTGCTCAAGATGCCAGATTTCCCAGATAGCAGAGCGATGTGTTGCGTGCACATTCCAGTGCACTGGGATGAGGATGGAGCACCAATGCTCTGAGAAGTCAGCCTCCTCCCATCAGCCCAGCTGACATTCAAACAAGAGACAGGGCCAAGCCCAGTACTGTGTGTGCATCTGCAGGAGAGTGAAACAAAAAGGGGCTGTGTGGAAATTTGGCAGAGCATTCCTGAAAGGCAGCAGATGAATGCTGAATCCTATAGCACCTAGAAGAAGAGCTTATCATGGGGGGAAACAGCTCCATTCTGCTGTTCTCAGGGAGCAGAGATTTTCTTTAAAGCAAGGATAATCAGTTGGTACCTCCTGAACACCACCAAGCCCCTTCACCACTTCCTCCTCCTCACAATATTCCAGAGCAAAAGAACTGAACAAGGACTAGACCTTTCCAGATGAGGGCTCTGAGCAGCACCCAGCTGTTGCTCCCCTCTTTCTCTGCCCAAAAGGCTGCCTTACTCCATCAATTCCCTCTTGCACAAGTGAGTAATTTACTTTGAAAGCTCAGGCCAAACTGGCAGTTAACCTTGACCTTCTCTCTACACATCTGGGTCTATAGAAAATGAAAATCAGGATGTCTCTGGCGTCCACAGCAAATGAAATACAAGGGCTTTCTCCAGGCAGAGGCAGAATGTCAGGAGCTATTTTAGAACTGGTTATAGCTATTCCAAAAGAGTGTTAGCACTTGGGCAAGACACTCCCCTCTTGACCTGAGGCTGTGTCCAGTATGGAGGCCCCACAGCTAGGGATGCTACAAGGGAATCCTGCCTCAGAAAAGAAAAAAGCAGTACCCACTGTACTCCTCACTGACTCATCAATGGTATCACAGAATGCTAGAGCTAGACCAGTAACCACATTTTACAGATGGAGAAAGGGAGGCTCAGACAGGGAGCTGGGAGGTGATCAAGGACACACACAGCAAGTGATTGGCAATGCTGAGGGTGGAACCCTGCCTGCCTGCCCCTGATGCTGGTACGAGTGGGAACAGAAGAAAGAGATTTCATGAAGGAAAAACCCATATGAGAACCCATATGAGATTTTAAGAGAAAAGAGGTCTAAAATGGCTGTCAGGGTTTGAACTAGAGGTTTAGGAAAGCAGTTGGGGTGTTCAGTTTCCAAATAGTAAGATCTACCAGAAAGGTCAACCAGGACTTCTAGGATCGTTTGCAACAATTACCAGAGTGGCAGGCTGCTCTCAAACTGATCAGCACTGTTGCAAAGAGCCCTCCGTGTTCACGATGCCAGACTTTCCAGGAAGCAGCCTGACACAGGGAAAAGGAACCATCAACCTCAAAAGTCAGCCTCTTCCCTCCTCTTGTCAACAGTCAGTCAAGTTGGACCCCGATGCCCAAATTATCCACTTCCTATGGGACCAAGGAAATCCCATAAGAAAACCTGAAATGCTCCACTGTGTGAAACAATTCAAGCATACATGCATTCCCTGGCACCTACAGAGCCAAGGGCTAGGAGGGTAGAAGTGATCCAAAAGAGTTTCTGCTATCAGTCTATACGTATGTCACTCATACACACACACAGACACACAGACACAGACACAGACACATACACACACACACGGGTGAGTTCAGAGGAGGCAGGAACAATTAAGATCCAGTCTTGGCTGCAAGACAACTACACCTAATCAGACTGGACAAGTTCATAATGGGTCAAGTGACAGTGAAGGCATCTGCTGTTCCAGCCCAGAACACATCCAGATAACCTCTGGGAAATTTTGGGGGTCCCTCTTCCAGAGCCCCCACTTCTGGATTCCCAAGAGGTCAAAGGCAATGGCCCTCTCAAGGACCAGGAGCTCATTCCCCAACCCCAGGGCCTGAAGCTCCAAGGGGAGCATGATCTTTGCATCTTCAAAGGAACCCACAGGATCTGGGGAAGAAGTCTGGGAAGGAAGGAGGGTCAACAAAGGAGGAGAGAAGGAAGGCCCAGGTGTCTGGTTGGGCAGATGAGAAAACAGGGAAAGGGAGACCTGAGTAGGGAGACCAGGAATCAGCAGGTGGGGGAGAAAGCAGAAAAGACCTGGACGCCAAATAGGAGGAGCTGACTGGGGACTCAAGGATGAGAGGGGACCCTTCAAAAGCGGGAGGTGGGAGAAGAGGTGAGGTGACAGCAGATAGGGACAGAAAGGAGGATGGTAACCGGTAAGAAACAGACCTCCAGACTGGGTATTAAAAGTCCTGGTTTCTTGTTTTCGGTCTGTCGCTGATGGGCGCGGGGCCCCGAATGAGTCCCTGTCCTCTTCTGAGCCTCAACTGCCCCATCCAAAAAAATGGGAAGAACAGAAAAGTCTCCGGCTGACTGTGAAGAGGCAGGCAGGGAAAGGGATAGGACGCAACCAAAGGCTAGAAGTGAATTCGGAGAGCGTGTTCCCAGCCCCACGGCTCCTAAGGGACTCACCTGTCCGGCCGCCGGTGGCGCCGCCGCTCCGGATCCCCCGGGGGTGCTGTCGGGCTGCCTCTCGCGGTACAGTGCCCAGAGCCCCACGTTGGGCAGAAGAACCAGGGCCGCCAGCACCAGCGCCACCGCCTGCAGAAGCCGCTTCTCCTTCCGCCTCATCGGGGCCGGTCAGCCCCGCCGCGCCCCGCCGGCTCCGCTGCGCCGCCCCCAGCCCGCGCGTCCGCCCGTCCACCCGGCGGCGGCAGCAGCCCGGCCACGACGAGCCGCCGCGGCGCCGGCCCCGCTCCAACTCCGCGGCACTTCCGCCGCTCGCCGGCCGGGGAGCCGGGCCTCGGCACCGCGACGCCGCTGCGGGGGGGGAACCGCCGCTGCTGCCGCCCCGCGCCCGCTGAGCCGCGCGCTGCCACCGCCGCCCTCCTCGCTGCTGGCGGCCGAGCACCGTGCGCCGCGGGGGCCGGCCTGCTCGCGGTGTTTCCTGGCCCGCGCGGGCGCGGCGGGGCCCCGCAGCGCAAGGCGTCCCCCTATCGGGGAGCAGTGGTGTGGCCCGCTCCTCGGCGGTGCCCCGCCCGCGGTAGCTTTGCGAAAGTCCGGGAGTTGGCGAGTTGGCGAGTTGGTCGCTAACCGGTGTGCGCTGGGCAGCGGCGCTGGGACGCGCGGCGGGGCCCCGAAGCCTCGACCAGCTGCTACCTTGGCTCCGGACTCGAGCGGAGAGTGTGCGAGCTCCCCGGGCACAGGCAAACAGGGCGGCAGCCTGGCAGGGTGCTTCGTGCCTGCAGCTTCCCTCACGCCTAGGCTCGGCTCCGAAGACATGCGGACCCACTCTGTCCCGGGGGCTGGGTATTCCCAGGCGTGACATCGGGTCACCGCTGTGCACGCGCACGGTGCTGCGGCCCGGGCCTAGTTTTCTCCTCTCCGAGATCCTGGCGTCAGGTGTGAAAGCCCTCTGTGAACTGTGGGGTGCGATGCCCTCCCGCCACCTGTCGGTTGTCCCAGCAAACCGGCGCGGAGGTCACCGGGGACCCTCCGCGCGTCCTTATCTCATGCAAGTCCAACATCCTTGGAATCGGAATGGTCTCAAGTCCCAGGTGTGCTTCTAGGCACTCAGATCACGGAGCCCGTTCTCGAAAACTCTTGCCGGTGTCTGTATCCGGTCAGCTACTCAGCAAACCCTTAGCGAAAGCCTCCTGTGTGCCTGACGCCGTGCCAGGTACAGGCGTGAGATGAAAACAGGCTGGAGCCCTGACGTCTGGGAGCTGAAACACCAAACACACAACCGCATTTGACGAGGGACTGTGTCCAGCACCGTGGTGCGGACTCTGAGGAGGTGGGTCGGTCCGCCTGGGCGCTGCGGGAGCCGCGGACTCCCACTGCGACGGCGGTGCCTGTGGTTCCCCAAGGAGTCTAACTGTGCTGCTTCCTCTCTGATGCCCAGGGACGATGCGCCCTCTCGGTGGCCTTCCTCTTTGCCACTCCACATGCGTTGTCTTGATTCTCTGCAGTCTCCAGCCCAGGCCCTGACTCCCATGCCAACCCCACTCCCTCCTCTCCGCCGCCTTAAGACCTGCCAACTGCCTCCCAGTTCTTCTGGGCCCCAGGCTGAGAATCAATGGGGATTCAAGTTTCTGACATTATAGCCCCCGGGTGTTGACATCTGCTACAAAATCTTCAAAGCTCCCATCACCTACTAGAGGCCACACTTCTCACTGTGACCTGCTCAGACTGATCAAACATTCTGTCCTCCTCTCTGCCCTGCCCTGCCCAGTTGCTGACTGTTGACCACACAGTTCCTTCCACCCAGAAAGCTCTCTGCTCTTCCCCATCTGTGTTGGTGGAAATCTTGTTCATCTTTCCATGTCTACTTGAACTGCCACCTCCTCCATGAACTTCTCCAAAATTCCTCCTCAGGGGGCTGCTGTCTTTGTATTTCTGCTACAGTAATGCTTACCCTTTATTGAATGCTAACTCCTTGCCAGGCACATGTTAAACCTTTAACATGCATTATCTTGTGTGGAAAGTGTTTTTCTGATCCTTGTTTGCAAATAAGACTCAGATTAAAGAAAGCCACAGCCAGAATGATCCTGTTTTAACAAGTCAGATGGCATCACCATTCTGCTCAAATCCCTCCAGTGGCTTCCCACCTTCCACTGGATTCCTATAAGGAACTACAAGATCCTACAAGGCCATATATGAATAGCCCCACCCTTTACTTTCTTCATTGTGTCCCAAATCAGGAACTTCACGCTGTTCATCAGAGCATACCAGGCACATTCCGGCTTCTGCCAAGAATGCCCACTCTTCTGTCCCTAGATCTTAGCCCTATGCCTCTATAAAAATATATTTTTTAATTGTGGTAAAATATATATATAATTTATCATTTAAACTGTTCAATGGCATTAAGTATATTCACATTGTTGTACAACCATCACCACTATTCATCTCCAGAACTTTTTTTATAACCCCAAACTGAAACTCGGTACCCATTAAACACTCCCTATTCTTCCCTCTGCTCAACCCCTTGTAACCACCATTCTACTTTCTGTCTTTATGATTTGACTGTCTGGGTACTTCATGTAAGTCATACAGTACTTGTCCTTTTGTGTTTGGCTTACTTACATCACTTAGCATGTTTTCAAGGTTCATCCATGTTGCAACATGTATCAGAATTTCATTCCTTTTTAAGACTGAAGAATATCCTATTGTACGTATATACCACACTTTGTTTATCCATTCATATATCCATGGACACTGGGATTATTTCCACCTTTTGGTTATTGTGAACAATGCTGCTATGAATAGCCCTATGTTTTTATACTACAGTTGATACACAGTATTTATGTAATTTAATTTCCCTTCCATCTCTGACAAAAGTGGAAGTTCCTCAAGGGAAAGATAATGTTGCACATAAAAATTCTTTTATGTGCCTCAATAGCACAAGTACAATGCTAAAAAGAGTAGCTAGAGTGATCCTTTTGCAAATACGAGGTTCACTCTGGCCCTAGGAATTCACCTTTATGTTAGACTTAGTGTTAAACTTCCTTTTATATTAGAATAATCTATGAGAATCCTTACCAGAGCCCTCAAGGCCCCAAATGACCTGACCATACTTGTAGATTTTGTCCTCTCTCCTCCCTTCTAATTACACTGGTGTTCTTGCTGTATTCCTCAAGTGCACCAAGTTAATGGTGGCCTTGGTGTCTTTGCAAATTTGCTGTGCCATTGTTTAGAAGTCTCTTCCTCGAAATATTGGTTTGGTTCCCTTTCTCCCATTTCTCAAGAACTGAATAAAATATCCTGCCTCAGAGAAAGCTTCCCTGACCAGCTGACCTAAAATATCAAAGAGTGCCCCTGCCATCTCCATGTGCTTGATTTTTTCAGAACAGGTATCATTTTTGGTTTTCGCCCCTAGAATGTGAGCAAGGAGGAACTTTGGTTGGTTGGTTGATTGTTTTTTTGGGTTGTTTTTTGTTTGTTTGGGTTCTCTATGGTATATGCTACCTCTGCTAGCATGTACTACTCCTTTTTGACAATTCAGAAAGCCAGTGCTCCTTCCAGGTGAAGGAATTAGTGAAAAAGGGTACCCCTCTCCCTGGGCCAAAGCAGCAGAAGCTAAGCTAGGACACATGGATTTCAGCTCATATTCCAGCTCAATCACATGAAGCTAAGCTGTGGCCCCTCCCATGCCTGGAAGATACTAGGTAATAATTCCCAGTTGAGTGAAGTCTAGCAGTTGAGGTCATGTCCAGGAAAACCTTCAGTGTTTCCTCCTCCTCACTCCTTCCAGCAATGTAGAGGATTGTGTGCAAAATTGGATTTGAGCTTTTCTTTGTATCTTACCCGAGCAACTTGTTGACCAAAGCTACACATCAGCCCAGTCATCCATCAGTGGAAACTCTAACCCATGAACTGAGCTCTGATCCCAGCACTCTTTGATCACCTTCTACAATGTGGGATGCGGTGTGGGCTGCTGGCTGGGGAGCTCTGGGCTTCTTCCCACTCACTGAGACAATACCATTTGAGATAGGTGGGCAGCCCATTAGCTATGGCTGTTTTTCTAGGAAAACTGATCTGGTCATGGACTGAAATTGAACAAGAAGTATGAGGACTCTCAGACTGAGCTTTCCTAGGCTTATGGTGGGCATTAAATGAGATAATGTGCATGAAGGGCTTACTGCAGATGTGCGCCTAGTGTAATTAGTAATCATGGCTGAAATTAAAGTCTCATACCAACAGGAACACTGAGGAGGGATGAACAGGACTTCAGCTGCATGGCAAAAACCTCTGGCTCTGGCTGGGGTTTCTCCAATCTCATTTTCTCTCACCATTCTGTCACTCATCCAAACTGGCCACACCTACCCTTCTTTCTAGTTCTGGACCACACTATGCACATTCCAGCCACAAGGCCTTTGAATTAGTCCTTTTCACTGCCAGAAATAGTTTCCCCTGATACTCCTCCACTGTTGCTCCCTCTTATCCTTGAGATCTCAGCTTAAACTTCACCTCCTCAAAGACACCCTCCCTGACCACCCACCTGAAGTGTTCTCTCCATACTTCACATTTGCTATGTTTTCTTCATTTTACCTCTTGGCCAAAATAATAAGATTACTTATTATTGAGCTCTTCCAAATAGAGTGTCAGTTGCATATCTCCTTTCTTTCTCCATCTTCCCATCTTTACTTCCTTTTCTTTCTTTCTGTTTTTTAATGAGTTGTTTACTCTCTTGCTCACACTTCAGTTTTCCATCTTGTCATCAGTAACAGACGAAGTATACCCTGTGACATACTTTAGCAAGAAGGGTCAATTAGAAGAGAGGAGGCAGGTGCAGGCCTCAGCCTTCCTAACGAAGGTACTAACAAAGGTATGAAAACCATTCTGACTAGTGGGCCTCATCTTGGCATTCTTAGAGTCCTTTGTTGATGACCCCATGTGTCCAGGCTACCCTGAGGTTGTTCTGGCCTAGGCATGAACTGAGAGGGTGTGGAAGTAGAAAAGATCAGCAAGTCAGGAGGTGTTGGACTGCAAGCCAGGCTACCTCTAACACACTTTAATCTTGGCCAAGTTTCTTAGTGGCCCTAAGGCTCAATTGCCTCATCTGTGAAGTGGGGATAACTGTGACTCTGTAATAATTTATTTCCAAGCTGGTGAGAGGTCTGCTTGACCTTAAGCAAAACCCCAGAAGCTGTGGGTGTTGGACTTCTGCATCTGCTGTAAGCCTAAGCCTTCCTGCCCTTCCTCTCCTTGAGAGGAACCTGAAAGCCTGCCTGAGCTCCCTGAACAGACTGAGCTCTCCAGTTATGTGGCGTCTTAGCAATGCCTTTCCTTAACAGCTACAGTGCTCACGGTTCCTGGGTGATGTTTGGTATCTGTCCTCTACGCTGGCCTGCAAGCCCCATGAGGATTGTGATAATTTTGGTTTGGTTTTGTTTTGTTGTTTATTTTGCTCACCAGCATATCTTCAGTGCCTGTACAGTACATGGCCCCAAATAGGTTCTCAACAAACACTTGGGAAATTAATTAATTAAGTAAGTAAGTAAGCAAGCAAGCATTCAACTCTTTGAAACCTACACTCAGGAAGCTCGATAACACTGATGTCAATGACCTGAATTGCTATCTCTGCCAGGTTGGTCATTTAACAAGGCTCAAACTTCTTACATTGAGGGAGAGAACCAAAGTCCTGGAGCTGAAATTTCCTCACCCGACTCTGGTCAGCCTGGATCGGTCCAGGCTTTGCCCCTAACTTCTGTGTAGCTCCAGACAGATCGCTCAAAGTCTCTCAGCATGGGTCCATTAGTGTAAGTGGCAGCAAGAATTAGAGATGTTTAAATACAGAATATGGTTGCATTAAATTAAGCCACGGAAACAGATGCTCTCTGAGATCTTTTTTAATTCTAAAATTCTTGGACTCAGTCTTGCAAGGTGGATGGAAAAGGGGGAGCCAGATATGGAATACCACTCAGGTGGTTCAGTATGCACTTAGTGGCATTTCAGCTGTAGTTTGAATTAAAAGGTTTGCAGGATGCCTATTTGAAATGACCTCTAGACAGAAAATTGCCTGTCTCTCTGTCATTTCCACAATGAGATGCCAATTAAACCAATCCTTCCAACTATAAAGGAATGTT